GTAAAATCTAAAAAGTAACTCAAACTCAAACTGTTTGAGGAAACTGATTGCAACAAACCATAACAAAATGAGTTTAAAAAAAAAAACGATATACTACTCTATATGAGTAGTTTGAAATTACTCCATTTAAGTGAAATCAATGAGGTATTTATTTAACTCTTTACCTTCAACACTGAGTTCAAAACTCCTTTCAAATTAGTAGAATTATCTTTTAGTAAGTTTCGAGTTAACTACACTCATTTCATTTGATAATGTGGACTGTTGGGTTTTACAGTGTAGAAAAAACATTGAAAAATGTTCATTTCAACACTTGATTTAAAACCAGTGGCTAGCTGATATCGATATTAAAATCTGAGTGACTGTTTTATGTGTACAAAAGTGAGTTCTGATTTGGTAAATTAGAAGATCTGTTCTGGTTCAACCCATAAACTGTTTCAGATGCATGTGTTTTCCTGCACACACCAGACATTTCAATGCATCGTCAGGGAATTAGTAGTTATAATTTTGTGCTGCCTAAGTTTAAATTTAACAACTTTATTAATCCTGCCAGGAGCAATTAAATTAGGGCAATAGCAACATGACACAACAAACACATACAGACACAAATCACTTACAAACAATATATATAAAAAAAAAAAAATCTCAATCCAGCATGATTCTTAATAACTTCATAAATATAACAATACTACTAAAAACAACAACAACAAAAAACCCATACATTAAAAATTTCTAATTTAAAATGTAAGGTTATATAGCCTCTGAAACAACAGTAAATTTATACTATTAGTAGAGCATTTAATGCTTCTGAATCGAGGGCAACAGTACACAATATGGCTTCAGAGGAATATGCCTGTATATTTTATTAGGTTTTTAGTAGAGAGAGCTTCCAATTTCACAGACAAAATTCAGAAGTGGCAAACTCCAGCAACTTCATCTATATGAAATCATTAGATTTTAAAATAGCACCCCTAATCCTATTGGGAGATGAGCAAATAGTAATGAGTATGAATGAGATTGTCCAAATTGATATGTATTAACCACTAAAATCATAGTAGAATTTTTTTTTCTTTCCTAGCTCTAATATATCAAAGCGCTTTTCTGATGGAACCGATAAATTCACAGTCCTCCATTTACAAAGCTCAGACCAATATTTCATCTTTTGCTGTGGGGTTAAAGGTCACAGATTAGCTGTGATATTGATTCCACATACTTCTCTTTTCAATGAAGTGTCTGCTGAGCTCTTAAATGAAGTGAGTTAATACACACTGCAAAGAGCAGGAGGATATTGGAGCACAAAGGTGGCTGGAATAAATGCTACGTTGAAGAAATCAGCCGGAGCTCGCCTGGCCTCCAGGTTGACAGGCTGAGTCTTTCTCTGTATTTATGTCACCAGGAGGGTCTGCGTGTTGTGGTAAATGCCATTCTGGTGCTCCATTTCTCTTCGCATGTCCACTTTCTAAAGGGAACACAAGACACTCTCTTCTTTAGTTGAATTAACTGAGCTGATCTAATAACAAATGAGGTTACAGGGAGAACACGACCAGCAATAGAGAGCATTGCACTCTCAGGGATATGTGCATTTATGTTTGATCAAAAGTGCTATAGGGCTGCATTAGGGTAATATATTCACATTAAACTTGTTTTCACAATGTACATTCTTGCAAATTATGTTCTGTGACTATGTTTTGAAGGTGCAGTATGTAAGTTTGACACCCAGTGGTTAAACTGGGTATTGAACTCCTGGTTCAAAACAAAGGCAAACGCAGGTTGCCAGATTGACAACACCAACAGCAGTGTGCCTGACTGTTGAGCTTAAAGGCTGATTTAAATCATGTCCTAAATAAAAGCAACAGCATGTGATAGAAGGAATATTCACCATATTAAAATGAGTTTTTGTTCTAACCAACACCTGAATTTGATATTTTAAAAGTGGCTTTATTTCTTGCAGCTGAACAACAGAAAGCTATGTCAGTTGTGACCTCAGGTACACCTCATGTGCTTTATTAAGTGTTAAATGCTAATAATGTGAGTTTAAATGCCATTTCATATAACATTAATCAGACCCCCTAGTTTTTCACAAAATTTTTTTGCGAATTTTTTTTTTTTTTTGCGATTAAAAATGACTGATTTTGTGGCTGTAATTCCCAGAAATTGGCAAACAATTTTGTGATTAAAAATATTTATATATGTATTTACCATATTAGAAAACCTACTATGTTAGGTGTGCAATCTGAAACAATGACAGTGATACAAATCATAAAAATAAAGGTTCTTTATTTTGGTCTCTTGTCAAGACAAGATCTGAAATGGTAGGGATTAAGCCAAAGGAAGGTTGTATAACTCTTATTTTTATCCACAATCTTAAATTTTTTCAGAATTCACTCCCCGGAGCATCTGACGTCATCACAATAGGACAATCGTTAGGGCTTCCCCTACCGTAATACATCTAAAACATAGATTGCCGTAAAACTCATGCAGGGAAGCATTTTCTCTCGTTAACTGCAGGGGAAGAGTTAAACAAAATAATTTATCAATTTGATGCACATCATAATACCATCCATACATGTAAAGCCCAAATAATGTGCTTCAATTCAGTCACGTCCAGCGGCCGTCACCTTTGAACCAATCTCATTTCCACCTGTCTCTTGCATTGCTCCATTTGCTCCAACTTTCTTTTGCAGTCTGAAGTGCATCAAATGCACAAATGCTCAATTTGCGCCTCAAGATATCTATATTTTATCTTTGCTATGACTTCACATGTAAATCACTCACGCTTTATCTGTGTGTGTTTGCTGCACAAGCTGAAAACTCTGCACAAGCTGAAAACTCTCCCCGCTCCTCATTTCGTGTAATGTAATGATTGTGAAGGCTCAGGTAAGAGGTCATTTTTAGAGAGACACTCAAATACATCACAGGCTCTGTTTTGATGATCCAGGCGCAAAGTCCAAAGCACAGGGCGCAAAAGCATTAGGGCGTGTCAGAATCCACTTTTGCTATTTTAAGGAGGGAAAAACCAGCTTTGTGCTATGGCGCATGGTCTAACACGGTTAAGCTTATTCTCTTAATTTGTTATACAGGGTAGGTGTGTTTTGAGAATACACCAATCAGAGTCTCATCTACCATTCCCTTTAAGAGTCAGTTGTGTCACGCCATGGCGCATTTGCTATTTACATGGCCGACTTTGTAAGTGGAATAACTGAACACTACATCAGGGAGAAAACAGTTAAACAGCATCTACAGCGCAAAAATGAGAGATGAGCCTCCTTATTCTTTACTTTCACTTTCACTCTCATGGATAAGGAAAGGTGTTGTATACACAGACATCCATTAGCCTATACATAATTTATTTCATTTGTGAAGCGCAAAGATTTGTTTCAAAACTATTTCTAAATTTAGTTCCAAATTCCAGCAAACGAATAAATGAACAATAATAACAAAGTGTGTTGATCCAAATACACATGCTATGCCCCATATGGTCTAAAAGCTGACAGGTGGACAAATCTAAGCTTGTTTTTAATAAAACAGATATAAATATGCATATCATAAATAATGCAGCTAATAATAATAACAACATTATACAAAAGCAAATTGTCATAAATAAACTAAAAAAGCCCCAGAGATAAAGAAGACATGGAGGCATTGGTTTTTATATTTAAGAAGACTAAAAAATAATAATTTTTGTAGTAATTTAATCCTTTAATTTTTTTTATTTGTAAAGATATTTGTGTATTGCTGTACATCCTGTGTATATTAAGCAATGTTTAAGCGAGGCACACAACTAACTCGCTCTGTGCTGGACTATAGACCTGCTTTGATCTGGTCTATTGTGCAGTGTATTTTAGATCCTCAAAATACACGCCAGCAATGCGCCTTAACACGCCTCCTTTTTTAGACGAGAACGCCTATGGGCGCACATATGAGCGCAAATACTTTGCTATTAAACAGTGCGGTGCAAAACGTGAAAATGACTCTTGAGCTGAACTAAAACTAGCTAACAACAATTGTGTCACGCCTTGCGCCGCATTGCGGCTGGTGTATGATAGGGCCCCACGTGTAAGACAATCATGATTGACTTATTTAATTTCTTTTTCTTCTCCGTGTGTGTGTGTGTTGCTACAGTATATCAGTTCAGTATGCTTACTATGTTATATAAACTGCCCCCTGCTGGTCATGTTTTTTTTGTGATAGACCATTTTGTGCTGTACCACGTAGTACTGCAGCAATGCGTGTGGTCTCCTTCATTCACTCGTACATTCTCAGTAGCCACATCTGCAGTTTACATCAGATCTTGAAAATAAAATAAACAGTTAGAAATGGAACTTTAGAACTGTGATTGAATGCCAACACATATCAGTGATTCAGCATGTACATTTTATTATGTATTAATTAGATTATATACCTTACCATTTTGTTGAAGTGCAGAGAGTGAACTATTCTGTACTTCTGAATGGCTGTAAATTTTTGTCATGTTTTGTTTAATGCAAACAGCCAAATAGCTTATCACTGCAAATCTTGTCACATAGTGTGTTGTTAGGACACAGGGTTACACTTTAACCTGCACACCTGATGTTTATATTTGTAACATTTATATTATTTGCTAATTTATAATCACCTTATGTACAACTGTGAATCTGCTTCTCATTTCTACTGTCCACCAGAGGTCGCACCGGAGGTTTAATATGGTCGCCTTCCTGACTGAATAAATGAAATATGCTGTTTTCCACCAAGGCAACTCGGGGTGCTTAGATATAATTGGCTAAACTGCATCGCGTGGGTAAATGACCAATACAAAGACAGATATTCCGGCATGTAATGCACATTTTCAAAGCAGGATATCTGACTTCAGCATTGTTTTTAAGATAAACAAGTATGTTTCTTTAATATCTACAAACATATTAGGGTGTTTTTATGCTATAGAAGAGTTAACAACTTACATACAGCACATTTAAAATGTGTGTGTTGTCTCATTCTGAAATTATATTTTTATTTTTTATTATTTATTTTTTGCAGAAGTTCATTTATAACATAAATAGACACCTTACATGTTTGAATATTGGATTCATGCTTTCATATGAATAACTTTTTTTACTGTGTCTGATACAGTAAATGTAAACAAAATTGCTGTTTATGGCTTATATTAATTGGAAATCTTCATTTTTGCAAGGTCTGGGTATAATCCTTCTTCAATCGCTTTGGGTGAGGTCTCGTTACACAGAGGCAGTACAATAAATGGCAGTTTAATCACAGGGTTTTTAGTGAATGAAACATCCAAAATAACCTGCAACACAAATAAAAGGCTGAGTTTAGAAATGTAGTCATGAACATTCAAACACTTTGATAGCACTGCCTTCTATAATTTCATTCCTTAGTTAAATGGTAACAAAAGCATACTCGACATTTCTGAATACTAAATTCATTAATCAATTTTGCTGCTGGCAGGAAACTAAACCTTTCAGTAGACCTGGCTGCTTGAATCCTGTTTTGTTTTATAGTACAGTACATACCTTTAGCCTGTACTCAACTTTGAGGATCCTGCAGTTGTGTATGGTGGAGCTGATCTCTGGAGGAAGAGGCAACACTTTATACAGATTCTCTCTGGTGGACGACACTAAAGGCTCTCCTTTCTCCTTTAGTATCTCTGTGGTGTGCACAGCTCTCTGGCCTCCAGCAAAAAAGCTCTGCTTCTGGTAGATAATGTACTTTGGCACAATTTTGCGAGTTGAGCTGTTGACAATCTCGCCATTGACAATAAGCCCTTCACCTGTTTGAATTATAAACACTGCATTACGGCTTCAATCAAAGTGCTTATCTCTGTTGTGTGCTGTTTGAAAATTGATAGATCCGTTAAAGCACTCCTGTTTCTCATGTCGTGTAACATTGCTGTTTATGAATATAAAAAGTATGTGATGTTGAAAGAAATTAAGATTTAGAAAAAAGAAAGAACTGATTTGTGAATGAACTGAGTTGACAATAATCCCAGTCTTTGTACAGGTTTGTAAAGTAAAATATTTAGATAATGGAAATTATTGGCTGACTTCAAACTATATCTTCTTGGCCCATCAAACATTGTAGTTGTGTCTTAGGCCTGGAGTTTGACACGTGTTTCTGACATGTCAATAAGATGATGTTTCTGTAAAACTGACAGTTGATAATGTGTTTTTTGATGTTGTTTTGACATTGAGGTGCCCTCTGGGAAGGGCTGAGGAAGCATCTAGAACTGGTGTTTAGATATGGTGAGGAACGTTGGTTTCTCTCATTTACTGTAAGCCGAAAACCAATTAAATCAAAGTTGACTCTCTGGAGGGAGGGGCTTAGAGGTCTTATATTGTGAGAGGTTACATACATTGTGAGAAAAGAGGGGACATTATTATGTACACAATCTTTGTGTGTTTTTTTTATTTATTTATTTTTTGGATGGGTGGATGGATGGATGTGAACTACTGTAGAACCAGCCTGAGGTGTGTTTCTCAAACAATTATGAAACTCACGGCTGAACTATCATAGTACGATGTATTGTTTGGAAAAAGAAAGATGTAGTGACGAGTGTTTCCTAAAACCGTAGTTTCTCTTCCACAGATTCATTTGAACCACTTTAGTTATAATGTAAAACGCCCATAATGATGCTCTAAACCGGGTGGTAACAACTTCTTTAGAGAAGAACCCCATATTTTTTTAGTGCAAATTCTATTACTTTACACAAACACACGTTTAAAAAAAATCCAATATAAGTTTTGATAAGGCATGCACTCATTTTTCCTAATAATTTAAATGTATGTAAACGACACATATAGGGCCTACTATTATTGAGAACATTACACATTCTATTCTAAAACATAAAATCACTTACAAAAAGCTACCATGTATTCTAACCTCACATATAAATCATATAAATAAATAATAACTAATTAAATAAATAATGAGACTATTTATTAAGAAATTGAATTTAATATGTATTATTTATTAGGCAAAATGAAAAAAATCCTACTTTAATAATAATAATAATAATAATAATTATTATTATTATTATTAATATTTTATTATTATTATTATTATTATTATTATTATTATTATTATTATTATTATTAAAGTAGGATATTGTTTTTTGTTTTGTTTTTTGAAAAGTCTACTTTTACAATTTGACACATTCAAACCACTGCAGAAATGTTATAACGAACAGGCCCATGTCATATACAGTACAGATACTTAATAAATTACCTACTATAAATTGAAAGCATTAACATATGCTATATAACATAAAATCCGTATTTAAATAATAGGTCACATAGCTTTCGTCATTTTTTTTGCCATGGCTGCGTTCAAAATGGCATAAATGTTTTCAAATGCACTACAAAGGCAACACAATTGTCAATATGAAGATTGCTAAAACTGAACTGTAAAAATACTTTGAAAGCAAATTACAACTAAAAGAAATGACCTTAATGTCTTTTTTTTATCATTCCGAGTTTAAATGTTGGAACGTTCGAAAGGAATAGGGCATAATGGTGATAACTGAGAATAGAACACAGCCAGGAACTATGTTTCTAACTACAGCTCCAGAGTTGTAGTTGCAAGTGTACAAGTTCGCGACGCAGTTTGCAAATGTTTGTTGGAATGATGTATTTGAGAAACATCAAATCAAAAAGTTTGTAACGACGTAACTTGCAACCTTAATTGGCTTAAAATAGTTTTATGAAATGCACCCCAGATCTCACGAGGAAGCATAACAATCTTACAATTTGTTAGTTTAGTGGCTAATTCGTACGAATTTGTACAAGTTCAGTTGTATAAAAGTGTGCGATTTTCAAAAAGGAGGTGTGACACTCAACCCCACCCCTAACCCACCCCAACCGTTATTCGGTGATGAGCAAATAGTACTTAACTGTACAAATTAGATTGTACGAATTCATACAAATTAGCCACTAAATCAAAAGTTACGAATTGCCGTGAGCTTGTGTTGGTAGAAAACCTCCAGTACAAAATCAGGTGCCTGTAAAATATCAAAAAAAGGAATTTTAATGTAGCATAATGCTGGATTACCTTGCTGGTAGCCTGTCTTTGGCAAGAAAATATCCATTGAAATATTTCCAGAAGCAAAAAACATGACATTCTTGTCTTTACTGCCATGTTGAGGTGTCTGCCAAGAATGAAGTTTTAGGGTTACTTTACCATTATGAAAAATGCTTTATGTTTAATGCATTAAATGTGGCTTTCATTATTATAATCACCCTGCATAACAAACCAATTGAAACCATCATATAATGTGTAATGGTTTAATGATATAATGGGAATTGTATTGGTTTTAATGAAAACAATAATGCTTTTTGTGGGTGTTTACTGGTCAATTCTTGCCTTCCATTGGGGGCTTGTTTATATTTCCCAAAAAACATTTTTAATGTTCTGGTTTAATGATATTTGAAGTGGAAACCATTAGAACTTCTGTGGTGGAGGTTTCTATTGTTTTTCTCAGCAGGGTGGTAATGGTAATGCTGTTATCACTGATAATCTGCATACTGTCAGTGTTGATGGATCGTAATCAGCTCTGGCGACAAACGTGAACTTTGCTTCAGCTTTGCTCGCAGCACGGAAAGACCTGCTCAACTTGGCCATAAGTCTGTAGTGAATTTTACCATGAACGCCTTTAAATGAAGATGGCAGACTCCTGGGGGAGAGAGAGAGGCATCTCACATGAATGACTAATAGTCTGTACAGTGAAAAACTTGCATTAAATGCTAGATCAATATTTCAGCATATACAGGATAGTACATTCAAGTATTGACACTGGCAAAAGTAACTGAGTCTGTTTGAAAGGAAGATAGATTTTCTGTCAGGAATCAATAAAGTATATACTATCTATCTATAAGTCACATCTATCAGCCAGACTGTAAGACTGTGGGACAAAACCATAGTGACTTACTGGTTGGGAAGCTGAAAGGCAAAAGGGAAGACATGTCTGCCGGCCACAAGAGTCACAGAACCTAGCAAAAAGAGATGTTTTTTTTTTCACATGTTGTATGTTATATTCATTGTTTTCAATAGTGTATAAACTATAGCATTCAAAAGTTTGTGGTTGGTATAGCCCAATCCCATTGGTAAACTAACACATTTAACATTTTACCAAATTTGTGAGTAATTCCTGTGAAATCTCATTTGAAGAAAAGTTTCAAATTTCTAGAAAAATGTCAGTCTCAAAACAACCATTTGCATAGTGAAGTTGTTGTTGATTGGTAATATTTGAAAAATCTTTTTAAAGCTTCTACATCTCAACATTGTTACATTTAGGTTAAAAAGAAATAAGACATTTTCAACATATATTTTTAAATTTTTTTAAATATTATTGCAACTTAAAATAAAAGATTTTAATATGTTCATTCATTCATATTCCTTCAGCTTAGTCTCTTATTTATCAGGGGTCGCTACAGCGGAATGAACTGCCAACTATTCTGTCATATGTTTTACGCAGCGAATGCCCTTTCAGCCACAACCCAGTACTGGGAAACACCCATACACTCGCATTCACACACACTCATACACTACGACCAATTTTGTTTTACCCAATTCACCTATAGCGTATGTCTTTGGATTGTAGGGGAAACTGGAGCACACGTTAAAAAAGCCTTTATTTTGGGGGGGGTTTGGCAGCTGGGGTGCTGAAAAAAAAGTTTAACAATGGCCGTTAAATTACAGAAATTTACTGTAAAATAACAGATGTTAAATTACAGAAATTTCCTTAAATTTACATTTCTGAAGCCCATGCAAACTCAGGGAGAACATGCAAACTTCACACAGAAATGCCAACAGGCCCAGCCGAGGCTCGAACCAGTGATTTTCTTGCTGTGAAGTGACATCGCTACCCACTGCACCACCGCACTGAACCCAAGGAACCTTTTTGTTATATTAGCAGTGTTTAAAACAATTGCACTTCGTATTTTTTCTTTGTTCATTTCATTAGATAAAAGTCTTACCAAGCCAAATTTTGAAATCTGCAAACACACACGGGATAATAAAATTGTTGACCAGCATTTTATTTTGCTTATATAGTTAAAGTTGAAATGATCAGCTCTCCTGTGAAATACTTATTCTTTTTCTAATATTTTCCAAATGCTGTTTAACAGAGACATGTATGATATGTGTTCAGTTTAAAGTGCAATTTGAAGGCTTAAGGTTATTAGGTTAACTGTGCAAGTTAGGTTAATTAGCCAAGTCATTGTTCTGTAGCCAATCGAGAAATTTTTTTAAAGAGGGATAATAATACTAAAAACACAAACTGTTTTTAAAAATGTAGGAACATATTTAGAAAAAATGCTTTCATTTAAAAAATTTTAAAATAAATAAATAAGACATTCTCCAGAGGAAAGAAATAAAATACTGTACAAATGTCTCTGGTCTAACATTGTCAATGTTTGGAAAACAATTCAAATTTAACAGGAGAGCTTATAATATTGCTTTTAACTGTATAAAACTATTTTAAAAAATTGAAAAGACCACATACATTTACTATTTATAGTTATGTGTTTAAGTAAAACCTAAATGTTCTTTAATCTGCAAACTACTGATGCCATTTCTGTTCAATTTTTAAAAAATAATGTACATCATAAAATGACAATTAGTCAAAAAAGATTGATTTATTTGCTCAAACTCATAACTAATCAAATACATGTAGAAGGAAAACCTGAAATGTCAAATGGTCTAACAATTTTTTAATGGATATTTTTTTAACCATAGCTGTATATTTGTCTATATACCAAATACCTCACATGAAATTAAACTCGAAGTTTGTTTTAGCACCGATCGGTGTGTATAACAGCATCTGTGTCATCAGATATTACCATCTGCTTTATCCTCCGGTAAGACAGACTGTGTTTGTGAAAAATACTTCTCTTTATCCCAGTACGTCACACTCTCTTCCCCATGTGTCTCAGTCCATGCCACATTAGCTTTGCCTTTCGCCTGCACCGTAAGCGATGTTATCTTGGTTTGCTTTGACACCTCCACAATAACCCTGCCTGCCAAAGTGTCCCCATTGCTGAAGGTGTTGCGATCATTTAAGGCATCATATTCAATGGCGAAGTTCCGGATAGTCATCTCCTGGAGAGCAGGTTATGTCTGAATATTTGTCAGATGCCTGGAGTTGTAATTTTTGCCTTCGGCTGTCTTCGGTTGCTCTTTATCCCTACGATAGAGAGTTCAGCAAACTGGCTCAACGGGTTTGAAAAAGACACACCTCCAGCAAACAGGCCTAGCATGTGAACTGAAAGTGAACCGCATGATGAAATGAAAGAGCTTTATGTGTATCTATGGTGTCAGAGAGCAACCAGTCTGTGGGGAAGATCTGGTTTTAGAGATGGTAGTGATAACAGTGGTCTTGTGAGACTGGAATTGTGAATACGGTGGAGCTGTGAACATGGTTAATTAAAAAAAAAAAAGAAAAAAAAACATTCCCTCTGCTGTCACTGCACCTGCTCCACAAACCTGGGCTTTAATCAGGACAGTTCATTTTAAGCCCAATCACTGTCTATTGTTGGATAATTAGCCTTACTTATTTGAACTTATTCGTTGTGTCTTTTTTTTTTATTATAATTTTTTTTGATCAATTAACTAGGCATTGATATGATAACATAGTGTGTGTGTTGTGTAGAAATGCCTTGATTAAACTTTGACAGGGTTCCTAATTATTATTATTATTAGTTCTCCTTTTACAATATACATGTTTAATTCTGTCAGAATAATAGGGTTATATATTATATTTTTCTCAATACTTAGTGATTCACATCCTTACTCTTGGTATTTTTTGCTTATTTACATTGTGTTTTTTATGTTTCTTGTATTCCTTATGTTGTGGGGACCCCAGAGGTATAGCAATACCAGTAGATTTTGACATTGTAAGGAAATCTGACAAAATGAAGTATCCTGAAAAAAGTAAAAATTGCAGATTGTTTCCTATGAGTGTTAGGTTTAGGGGATTAAATATAATTACAAATCTGAAAAAGACAAAAACAAACAATTAAAATAAAACAAGTACAAGCCAACTAATAAAATTAAAGGCAAATTCTACCAAAGAAAACCAAATCAAAATGCATTTGTCTTTCATTTTAAATTGATCATAAGAATGTATCGGAATCAGTCACAATCAGGGTTGGATTTAACCATTAAGCGAGGTAAGCGGCTGCTTAGAAGTATCAAAAATGTTTTCTAGGTTATTTTAAAACAGGACTGGGCAACTTCAGTCCTGGAGGGCCGGTGTCCTGCAAAGTTTAGCTCCTACTCTAATCAGACACGCCTGCCTATAGTGATTTTAAAAACACTGATTAGCATGTCAGGTGTGTTTGTGAGTGTTAAAGCCCTCCAGGACCGAAGTTGCCCAGCCCTGTTTTAGAGTAAAATATATTACACCTCTTGACCTTATTCTTCGATGCGAAAGTGTGCTAATTTTTGCGATTGTTTTACAACTTCCAATTCAGTTGCCTATGGGAGAAAAGACTAGGAGTAATAAACTGCAGAAAACGGTCAAACTACTTGCTCTACAAACAAGTGTTTGCATGACTATACACAGAAAAAGCAGAATAACATAATAAGAAAATATTAATTTGTAACATCAGGCAGCAAAATGAGCAGTTTGTAACGTCTAAAAACGAATAGAAGTGAATGAGACCGGAAGTCTCGAGCCAAAAAGATTCAAATGGCTGCGCCCACTCACCGAGAATAAGGTGAATAAAGAGTCTTCATAAACTACCAAAACCAGTGTATTTGTGTGTAGTTAGTTTTATTTAATTATTATTTTCTTTCAAAAAAGCTGGATTTTAAAGGTCCAGTAAAATTTTAAAAAAATAGTTTTTTAGATTTTAGTATCAATATGTTAGTTTTAAGGATATCTATATCTTTGCTTTTTATTTGATGCGCAATTTATTTAATGATCTGTGATTAAAAACTAAATGCTATTGGCTTTTTTTAAATTTTTTTTTTTTTTATAAGAAGCTACTCTATGTCCAGCCCTTTCTTGTTTTACTTGAGAATAAATACTGTAATACACATTTCAAAGCACTTTACAGGACTTAAAGTGTTTATAGTTTTGTAAGTATTCATATGTTTTTATGAATTGCTTAAATATTTTTAGAGCATAGAAGCAAAAGTAGAGAATCGAGATCTACGGAGATTATTTAACTTTTATTTAATTAATTATGAAGGCAATATATCTAAAAAGCACATGTCAGATGTTATATAAGCTATAATATAAGGCATACGTGTGTGTCTGTGTCAACCCACTAAACATCGCTAGACAGATTTATTGAAGATTGAGCCCACAGTTAGATGTTGGTATTTCAACTGAGAAAGTAATTACCAAGACTGGCTGTAATTTGATTGAAGCTCATTCAAAAATGTTTTGAGCTAAGTTATTTGGGCCTTTTTTAAATAGTCTGCAGGATCTTTAGATTTATAGAATATTTATTATGAAGCTAGTGCAGTGTTGAGAGAATTGGTCTAATAAGATGATGATGATTTAACACACTTATTGAGAGAAAAAAAATACAAATCTGAAAAAGACAAGAAACAAACAAAATAAAAACAAGTACAACTGATATGACTTTCTTAACAAGGCGAATTCTACCAAAGAAAACCAAATCAAAATGCATTTGCCTTTAATTTCAAATTGACCAATGTATCAGAATCGGTCACAATCGGGCGAATTTAACCAATAAGCGAGGTAAGAGAGTGCTTAGAATTATAAAAAAAAAAAAATTCTAGTATCTACTGTAGAAGTATAAATTATACGTATAAACTGTATATAACATTGTTTTCTATCATATTTTGTATGGTGAGAGTCAAACAAATGAAATTTTAATGCAACTAAATATTATTTAATATAAATTAAACTATTATATATTTATGAAAATTTAATGTTGTGTAATAATAATAAGATCATACAAGAAAATATTATTATTATGATTACATGTGCACAAATTTGTCCACCACCCCCAATCATAGAGCAATGCAGCAGTTAAATTTAAATAAAAATATCTATATATTTATTTTTTTTAGTTGTAAATTAATTGTAAGAAAACGAATCATTTAAAAAGTACAGATTGCATAAAGATAGAATACAGAAAAGACGTTTATGTGATATAAAAACACTATCTAAATAATAAAAAATTAAATAGAAGTAAAAAGGGTGGTTTTTAGGACTGTTTGGCAGCTCTAGTGGATTCTAGTTTACTTCATATCAATTTAACTGTAAATAAAAATTAAATAAAAGTAGAAAGAGTACATTTTAGGACTGTTGGGCCGCATGGCTAGAATTGCTTAGAACCCCCGAATCACTAAATCCAATATAATGTATGGTAAAGTCTCATGTTTCGCACATATCAGAGTTAACCCTTTGAAGCTTCATGCAAGTCAAGTGATATTTGATTCTATAGATATTCTAAAAATAGCCAAACACACTCACTTACTGTATGTCTGTAACATGATTCAAGGGCAGGTCATTACACATGTTTAATTTATGCCTCACATTCAGTTCATTAAATACAAATCACAACCGCTGACCTGATCCTCAATTATATGTTCTCATTATTGCATTCTGTTTAAATCATTTACGCTTGAAGCTTCACTGAAATATGTAAGGTTTGATGCAGAATGATTGGTTGCGTTTAGCCTCTGGACATTGTAAAGTGGTAATGAAAGAATGTCGTAATGTCAGTGTGGCTATCAGACAAGAAGTTTTTAATTGCTTTAATTTAATACGGTTGTCTAAGCACAGCCATATCATCGCTTATAAGCTATTACATGATTTCAAATTCCCCAGCAAGTCTTTATTTACTCTTAACCCCGTGTGACTGATGAAGTGCTTACTGTGCTCATATACAGAACAGATGGAAAGTTTCAGACTGTGTTTTTCCTTTATTAGTAGTAGTATTAAGCTCTGCAGTATAATTGTAAATGGCCTCCAGCAGGGCATAAGAGAAAAGCACTGACACACATGAGTGCCGGTAAAGGATTTTTTTTCACTCTTATCTAACTCATTGGGTCAGCAGGCATGAATGAGGTGAAAGTGTGCTGTTTCTAGCTGAAGCTCCATTAATTTATTCAGACTTAAGCTTGAATAAACATCCCTTCATCAGAAGCGATTCAATGGTGCTGAAAGCTAAATGTTCTGCAAAGAAACGTTTGAGTGCTTTTAGAGCCTCCGAAACAGAAATAACCATTCCCCTGGATTTGAGAAACGTCCAGCGGTAAATTAAAGGTGCATTCAATAATTAAAGACAATCTGGTAAAAAAAAGGGCGACACGGTGGCTTAGTGGTTAGCACTGTCGCCTCACAGCAAGAAGGTTGCTGATTCGAGTCCCAGCTGGGTCAGTTGGCATTTCTGTGTGGAGTTTGCATGCATCCCTAAAGTTTGAAATATTAAAGTACACTTAATTTGCATTGAATGTGTTTTTAATGAATATGAGGGAAATTCTATCAGAAACATACAGTTTCACTTTTAGTAAATGTGACAGGGCCTGACTTAAGGTTATCGTCCTTAAAAAAACAAGCATAAAATCTTACAATTCTATGATAGAATGCATCTCTGATCACGGCCAGCTTCACTCATTCATTTTCTTGTCGGCTTAGTCCCTTTATTAATCTGGGGTCACCACAGCGGAATGAACCGTCAACTGTGGGGGAAACCGGAACACCCAGAGAAAACCCACGCGAATGCAGGGAGAATATGCAAACTCCACACAGAAATGCCAACTGAGCCGAGGCTCGACCCAGCGACCTTCTTGCTGTGAGGCAACAGCACTACCTAGTGCCCCACTGCTTCGCCCACAGCCAGCTTTTTCTTCGTAAAACGATGTCACTTCCAAGTCATAGCCTTAAATGTGTATTGCACGCATTATATATTAAATTTAATGCAAATGTGACAGGAGTGACAAAAACATGGAGAGAATTCTAAACTAGTATTTATTTGTAGAATTTATTTATAATTTGACGTTTTTGAGCAGTTGATGTGAATGATAACAACTTAAACTTTCTATTTCTGAAGATTTTTTTTTTCTCTAAATAGCAGTTTTTAGCGTAACAAAACTATCAAAGTTGTATAGGTTCAATTGGGCTGAGGACAAGGACAGAGTTTGTACAGTAAAGTCTTTTTAATAAAGAAAAAAATCTGAGAACCAAATAAATGACATTTTCC